CCTACAACACTCAAAGCTGCTGCAGGGAAGTTTGTCTTTCAGGTGACACACCAGCCTTGATTATTTAACTACCGCGATGCATGAATAAAAATTACTTTTGTCCATGACCAAAATTACATATATTTAAAGTAAAAGAACATACCTAGGGTATCTTTACACCACTCACCAGCAGAAGGCTGCGCACAGACCCGCAAGCACGGTCCCGTGCCCTGCCTGCCTGGCAAACGCGGCCGGGCCGCGCTGCCCGCGCCGGGAGAGCCGGGCCCGGGGGGGCTCTGCCGGGCCGCCCGGGGGGGCTCTGCCGGGCCCGGGGGGGCTCTGCCGGGCCGCCCGGGGGGGCTCTGCCGGGCCGCCCGGGGGGGCTCTGCCGGGCCCGGGGGGGCTCTGCCGGGCCGCCCGGGGGATCTCTGCCGGGCCCGGGGGGGCTCTGCCGGGCCGCCCGGGGGGGCTCTGCCGGGCCGCCCGCGGGGGCTCTGTGGGGCTGCCCGGGCGGGGGCGCGTTCCCTGCGCGGCATCACCGCCCCTCCGCGCCCGGCCGAGCGGGACACGGCTCCTGCCGCCCGGCCGGGCCAGCAGCAAGGGCAGCCCCAGCCCTGCGCGGCCGCGGAGCGGCACCGGCAGCCCGTGAGGGGCTCAGGAACCCCGCGGCAGCGCAGGGCAGAAGTTACCGGCGGGGCCGGGGCGCTGACAGCTACGCACTCCCCAAACCCTCCCTCCCGCCACGGGGCAGCGGCGCGGGGGCCGCCCCGGCCCGCTACCTTGTCGCAGTAGAGCCCCACGAGCTGCTTCATGCGCCAGTGCGGGGCGGAGAACACATCCACCTCCTCGGGGAAGGGAGCCATGTTCTCCCCATGGAGCCGCGCCGCGAACGGCGGCGCGAACGGCGGCGCGAGCGTCCACACCGCGCGTGCGCCCTTCCCGCGTGACCGCGCCCGCCGCCCCGCGCGTGCGCGGCTGGCCCCGCCCCTTCCCGCGGGGAGCGGCGGCGCCGGGCCCGCCTCGGCCCGGGCGGGCCCCGCTGCGGAATGCGCTCCCGCCCGGGGCACTGCGCTGGGCCCGTTCCAGCGAGCTGCAGCGCTCTGTGACTTCAGATCCCATGCCTTGGCAGCGCCAGGGTGGCAGCTTGTGGATGTAAAAAGCGTTTACAGAATCAGTTCGGTTGGAAAAGACCTCTGGGGTTATGGCTCCAGCCCGTGACCGAGCACCTTGTCTGCTAGACCACGGCACTGAGTGCCACGTCGTCTTTCCTTAAAAGACGCCTCCGGGAATGGTGTCTCCGTCACCTCCCTGAGCAGCCCATTCCGATGTCTAATCATCCTTCCTGTGAAGAAATTCTTCCTCATGTCCAACCTAAAACATCCCCTGGAGCAGTTTAAGACTGTGTCTTGTCCTATTGCTATTTGCCTGGGAGAAAGAACCGACCCCTACCTGGCTACAAACTCCTCTCAGGTGTTTGCAGAGCAGTGAGGTCCCCCTTGGTCTCCTCCAGGTTAAACACCTGCAGCTCCCTCAGCTGCTCCTCACAGGACTTGCTGCCCTTCTCTGGACATGCTCCAGCACCTCCGTGTCCTTCCTGAACTGGGAGGCGCAGAGCTGGACACAGGATTTGCAGTGTGACCTCATCAAGAAGGTCCTAGGAAAGATATTTGTATCTGCTGCAGCACGGAATCTGCACCCAACCTTTTGCAGCATTTGTGCCAAATAAGTAAAGTGTGTTTGTTTAACTTCCAAGGCAAATGGACCAAAAACACCTGCCTGTCATACTGATCCACTTGTGCAACATTTCAGAGTAAACAGGAACACTGGGCCAAGTTGAGATTGCACATTCATTTGACAAAAGCTGTAACTGTCAACCAGCATGTAGTGTTGTAAAACTGTTGACCAGCATTGCAATGTTCAGTAAATGTCACCAAAATTCTTTGTCAAACATACAATAGATGCAGCAGGCCTTTCTGACTGAAAACTGTAAAAAGTTTATGTTGCAGATATTAAACGTATTTGAGCTAGCGAGGTCATAGGTGTAAGCAATTCATTGTAAACATGTTGAAATATTTTCAGGAAAGTCATGTGAGTTTTTAGTCTGGTATTTCTCAACATACTAATGTTGGGAATAAAATGCTGGTAAAAGAAAGTAAGTAGTGAACTAAGCAGAAGAGCTCATATTATGTGTTACTTAGCTGACACTGTGCACAATAATCTCTTTATCTCTTTATCTAAGGAAATGAGTCCCAAGCAATTGCGGTACTGGGCGTTTCCTTTTCGATGAATCCTTTCCTCCTCGAAGGACTTTTGAACACACTGACCTACTTAGCCATATTTGCAAATATGCACGAAACTTGGAAGGTTAAATTCTTACAACTTCAGGTTGGGAAAAAAAAGCAGTTACACAGGAGGGAAGAAAGGAAGGCAAAGCACAGGTGTTATGCAGCTGGCTAGCCAGCACACAGCTGTGTTTACAGCTTGGCAAGTGAGCAGAGCTCTGGGTTTAGGCTTGAGCATGTCTTTCATAGAGAGTGTGCCCTGGCACACAAGGGAGCAGGCGAGGCCTTGTGTTACTGCTGTAGGTAGACTTAACTCACTGAAGACACAAACCCTTAAGACACAATGTTTGAAGTTCATTTCTTACAGAGGAGCTTGTGAATATGAGGTTCTATTACCAGGCTTAAAGTATGTGGTCATACAGAATTGAGGTTATTCTGCCAGAAATTCATGCTTGCGTAGTAACAGAGGAATAATGTTACTGTCTGTTACACCTTCCTACTACTGGAACTTACCACTCCCCTCTGATAGAAATAACAGGAAAGAACATGTTGGTTCCTCATCTTCTGGGGTTCAGAATGTAAACATATGCTGAATTTCATGGTTGTTTGGATTAATATTCAGTCTGTGAACTACAGTATCTCCAGAGCAGATATGCCAATTTTCTGACATTTCTTCATGGGCAATAGCATCTTGTAGGAGAGCGGGACTGAGAGCGAGGAAAAGTGATCTGCATCCACCATGAATTGCTAGACCTCAGGAGGCAAGATGGGCAGCCAGTTTGTGGCAGTGAATTACAACACTAAAAGACAAATTACCTGATAAAGGGATTAAAATACTGAATTTTCATGGACTAGTTTAAGGATAGACTTGGTAATTTTTTACATTACATGGAATTTACATGGAAAGATGATTCTGAGGATGGATTCCTCATTAATGTAACAGCAAAAGATATCATGAGAGTGACTGGAAGCTAGAAGAAGATAAGTTCAGAGCTAAGGCTTTACTCTCAAGGCTATCAAACCACTGGAACCCTGCAGGTTGTTAGTCTAGCCCTCATGTGAAGTATTTAGAACAAAACTAGAACACTGATTTAAAATGGCTATGCTGAGTCGAATCAGAGACCCTCTGGCCTGATGCTGTGTTTATAGAAGTTGCCAGTGAGGAAAGGAAGCTTGATAGGAGTTGAAATGGGGTTCCCAACAACTCTTGGATCCAGTTCCTCTGGGATGTAATAACAGGTTGTCTATTTGTTAGGGAACCCACATCTTCTTCCCCAAGGTGCTGTGTCCTAACCTAGTGTGTACTTGGAGAAACATTCAGTGTCTATCTGTATGACTTCTTAACTTATACTGTATATTTCAAGCAAAAGTTCTAGCCTTGATGCAAAAATCAGCGACAATTTTTGCACATTTCTGTATAGAAGATTCATGTCACATTCTGGCTTCTGTTAGACCCTGAAATTACTGAACGAAATTTGGTTGCAGCAAAGTTAATAATAAAATAAAATGTTCAGTGACTTCCATGGACTATTGCACTCTCTAATCCTGAATCCAAAATATTGGCTTGAAACCATTTGATTATTTTTCTGATGCCCTATCAGCATGGACATAGAGAGGTTAGGAAGAGAAATAGGAAGAAAAAGCATTAGAGAAGCAACAGGAGTAAAGTACATTATTTCCTGTGTCTCCACCGTATCAAGCACAACATTGCATATCCATTTCTGAGTAAATCTGGCTTTCCTGAAGACGCTGATGCAGGTAGCAACCAATTGGCTATTTTTTATCACATTTGTAGTAGAAATCCATCATCAGGAATTTACTCAATGATTAGCAAGATTTTTCCCTCAACAAAATCCACCAGCTGAGTACCAGTGCATAAACAGAAATGGGACACTATATAAATAAGTACACAAGAAAGAAAGAAAGAAAGATAGATAGAAAGAAAGAAAGAAAGAAAGAAAGAAAGAAAGAAAGATAGATAGAAAGAAAGAAAGAAAGAAAGAAAGAAAGAAAGAAAGAAAGAAAGAAAGAAAGAAAGAAAGAAAGAAAGAAAGAAAGAAAGAAAATAACCAGCATGCTCCTCAGAAATGTGAGTGCAAAAATACTTGGAGGTTGAATTTATTTTTTTAAAGTAAAAAACCCAATGTGGTTGTATTTGCAGCAGAGTCTACCAGAGAATAATCTGAAGATTAGACTGATTGGTGCCTTTTGTTGTTCTAACAGAGTACTTAGGGGAAAGAACCTGGAGGAGAGTGACAGCAGAAGCTGAAGACATTTGTTCAGTGCACAAGATATAAGTTGTAATCCTTATATTTCTTGTTATGATTGATTAGTGACTTCAGGGCAGGTTTTTTTTCACAAAGACATGGTGCAGATATCACCACACCAAAACGCCACTGTCACTGTTCAGGGAAGAGATGGAAAAAGAGCTGACTGATGTTACCCCTGTATGTGGTACAAGATAACTCGAGGACTTGGATAATTACACTGTCGTTGCTGTAACTGCGTATTTTAGTGGTTTGTGGGGCTGTTTTTGTTTTTGTTTTTGTTTTTGTTTGCTTGCAAGCATGTTTTGATAGTTTAGGAAAGTGTAGCACAGCAACGAGTCTTAAGCGAACCAAAGGCATCCTAAGTATTGAAGTGGTAAGGCGCTTTTTTCCTCCCTTTGCAGAGATATACTGCAATTCTCTTCAGTTATCACCAGGTGGCCTTCAAACTTTCTCGTTTTTTTCTGAAGTGAGGAATAGTTTAGACACAAGGAAGTGATGTCTCTCTGTGCTGCAATCGTTCCAGGAAATAGGTTATAGTTTCCAGCAAGGTTTTTTTTCCAGCTTTTGTCTTGTGTACTGAGTTGTAGCTAGTACTGAAAATATTAAACGTTCAGATTGCAGGTTTCCATTTAAATTGTATCATTGAACTCTACTTTTTTATTTCTTTGGGTTTTTTTCCTTTTAAGAATTTGGATTGTCAGGAATTCATGATGTTGAGCCTTTTTTATCCTCTTTTCTTTGTCTCTGTTCTGTGTATGAACAGCTTCTCAGGAGTGCAGGGAAAGAAATGGAAAGGTGAAGGTACTACTCAAAACCTGGAAAGTATTATCATTGGAAGATGCTATGATTATATTAGAACTGTGAATCCTGCTGTTGGGTAAGTTTTGCTTGTTTCTGGATTAGTTTTTTATGTTTTGTACAAATGGTTGTTAATCAGAAGTTTGATGTTATGCTTCTAGCAATGAAAGTGATTCTTATGAAACCAACATGCTTGTAGCTGTCTGGAAACAACAAAATTACTTTGATAGATATCATGTTTTAATTAAAGTAGTGTAACTGGGGCAAGATTTTTAATCCTTCAATTCTTTATTTCACTTTTTTTTGCCCCCCCCCCCCGCCCCATTACTTTCTGTAAGGAGAACAACACACAGAAATGACAGGGATGGTGTTTTGGAAGTGCCAAATCTGACAGCACTCCCGGGAAGACCAGCTTTGCCTTGCATGCCTGTATGTCAAGTCATGTACAAAGGGGAGCACCTCACTTTATAGCTATCCTTTGGTGCTAAAGAAACCTGTTTAGCTCATCCACCTGAAAAATCAAGTTCTAATCAACTGCTTAAGTAGGATTATCTGTGAGCTTCTATTGGCTGTGCTAATTATACAGAATCACACACTTTGCTAAAATGAGCACTTTTCTGATTCCTTGCTTTGTGAGGGCTTCAGTAAAAAGGAAGAAAATGAGAAGGACAATCTCCTGGAGTTCAGCCCTTTATTCTGCCATTCAAAAATTGTCCTAAAAGTGAAGAGGTATTTGTAGAGGGGCCCTATCTGGGTTCCTGTAGCATTGAATTGCTGTCTTAAAACAGGGTTAGATGATACTGCAAAAATCACCTCAATTGCCCAACCCCCCATTTTCAATTCCTGTTGCAAAAGAGGAAGATAAAGGACTTAAAACAAATTCTTCGCTATTAACAAAGCCAACACAATATACTTCTGCACAATAACACTCTTAACCTTTCAGAAGTGTTTTCTTTCAAGTTTCTCATGAAGGAATAAAGATCATCCTAATGCTAATAACACAGTGCATGGAACAGTTCAAGCTTGGCAAATTTATAAACATGTCCCAAAGGAAGGTGGAAGTAAACTTTAAGTGTAGATTTCTACATTCCTACAATATATAATATAAAATATGTGAACTTAGTTAACAGCTGTGTAGGTAATCTGGTCTTGCAGTAGGCTCTAGACAGGTAGAGCTTCTGCAGGACTTAACAGATGCCACTTCATTTATATTTGAAGCAGGACATGAATAATAATACAGAATATTCTAAAATGAGCAACATAAAGAATAGTCACTGTAGAAATTTGAACCATATTGTTAACTGATTTGGGCTGTTAGAGTTATAAATGCAATATTCTGGAAAATATTTCTACATGTCTCATGTTTATGATAGTTTTGGGATTTACTGAATTCTGGTTACATTTTTACAGCATGATTTTAAAATTGAGAGATTTGAACATGTTCATCAAACAGTGTTCAGGATAGCATGAAGCCTGGCAGGACATTAGGAATATTTTCCTGAATTTTTACCAAAAATGGCATTATTGAAAGAAGAGCTACACAACTGATTTCTTATAATGTGGGGATTTTTCTCTTTCCCTTTGGTGTATTAGCAAATAATGTAATCCAAACAAAATGGAAATTTCATATTGTACAGGTGCAAAATAGATATTAGAATTATTAATAGCCCTTTCTGTTCATTGTCTGTTTCTTAGTTGCCCCTGGCTAGCTTTCATAGAGACATTACAAACTGGATAGGTTTTGCTTCTGAATTTATGCACAAATTTTCTAAGAAAACTTTGCTAACTTAAAGGAAGCTAGCAAGCAAAACATGTCTTTACACTGCAAGATAATTAAAACATAAAGATGTTTATAGGAACATAATGAAAACTTTCCCATGTGTTAAAACAGATTATACAAAATGGCAATCCAAAGAGGCATTTTACAAAATGCTGTGGCCATGCAGAAGTGAGGAGTTTGAATTAAGATCATATTTGACATTTCCTAACAGGAGTATGCTAAATAACACAAATGTTCCTATAGTGCTTTTCCTCTGTATTTGTTTATTTGTAGTATATCATGAAAGATTTGAAAACAATTTTTTAAACTAAATAGTGTGAAATTAATCTGACTTATTAGGGTCTACTAAGTTTAGAAGGAACTGTCCTGAACTGCAGTCCTTCCCCACCCTGTAGTTTCAATAGGTGCTTTTGCCAGCTAAGAAGTTTTGAGTATCAGAGCAAAATAATCCTTTTGATTTACAAGCTGTTCAAAACTGGGTGAGAAGTCATGAAAAAAAAAAAAAGAATACATGAATTAACCAGAGTTACTGATGGATGCACCTGTCAAGAAAGATCTTAAAAGTTCGGTTGATCATAACCCACAAGTACTAACGTAAGTGCTTCAAGTAGAAAGCTTTTTAGCAAAAAGAAACCTAAGTATATGCAATTGTCAGAAGCCAAAGTATAACAGCTTGAAATCAGAAATAGGGTTCAAATTCTTTTATTAAGTAAATCTGTTTAAACCTTGAAACTACTGATTAAGGATCATACTGCATCACTGAAAATTTTCAGGTCAAGATCCATATCTGCTTACAGTATACAGGGAATTATTATATAGTTGTTGGAAGCATGACCAGAGATTTCTGTAGGAAAATCTGTCTTCTGTTTCCTGCATAGCTCACCACAAGGGCTCCTTTAAAGTGTCTGTGACATTCAGTGTCACAAAGCAGCTCCCTAAAGAACCTGTTCCAACAGAAACCATGCTATATATGGATGATACTAAATGAGCAAAACACTGTAATGGCAAAGTTTGATTTACTTATCAGGACTACTATTGTTCAAGCAAGAGCTTTGCAATGACAGCTATTCATGTTAGGAAGGCTGTATGCACATAAAGTAATTATTCTGTCATGCAGAGTGTTCTTGGCATAGACATTGTCACAGAAATATGTGGGGAAAGTACTGTGGAAAACTGGTGAAAATAGAAATTCCCTTCTTAATTATTCCAGGCGGCTCAGAGCTGTGACAAGTGTGATCCTGAAAGTCCAAAGAGATAGGACACTTCCATCTATAGACAGCCTGTCTTGTCCCTCCATGGAGATTATTGTCCCCAAGAGAGAGCTGGAAGAAGGGAAATGTTGGAGTGTACAGCCTAGCATCTTATTTCAGCCCTTGAACTGTTGAATGCTAACAACATACTTGTAGTTCTTGTAGCTACTGCATAGTGACAGTGTGTGTCCCTGTCACTGTACTCATTCCAGCAAGATAAAACTGCACAGTCCCAGGGCCTAGAAACTGAAGGCATCTCTTTGTCACCATCATTATTCTACCATCAAAGCTTTTTAGCAACTCATCCTGTATTTGAATCTGACATTTTAAGAGTAGTATTACATTCCAGCAGTGTTGGATATTTAGCTATGGATTATTTGAAACGGCTTATTTTTGAATCTGGAAAATTTCAAAGAAAGCTTTTTCTTCAGTATTTCTACAGTGTTGGATTACTCCCTGTGTATACCATACCTACTAAGATTTTTGTTGAATCATACTGTGTTTCTAATTCCACACTGTAAATGCTAATCTTTTCCTTGCTACTTCTTCCTTATCTGCTGCAGTTATGATTCAGAAGACAAGATCTCTGTATTCCTGAGCTACAAATTTTTTACACCCTGACTTCAGTTTTCTGCCTTAGCCTTATACAGATTTTAATTCGGGTATTTGAAGGAGTTGAGAACAAGTATCTTTCTTGCTCACCTTTGAAAAAACAATTTTGCTATTTGTTTTTTTTTAATGATTACAGTGAGAAGAATTGTTCACAGATATGGGAAGCATTTAAAAATGCATTTATTAACAAGGATCCTTGCAACATTCTGCCTAAGGATTATGAATTATTTATCAACCTCACATTTCACACGATTCCACCTAACAAGGTAATATTTTTTTATGTTAATTGCCCTTTGACATACAACAGATTTTACGTGACACAATTCAAAAGTCTTTCTGTAAATGATTTGTGAGTCACTCTTTTTGACCAGTCTGTAGTTTGTAAACTAGACTCAGACTTGATAGCATGTTTCTATGTGTGGCTCCATTTATTTTATGCAGGAACTTCTCAGCAGTGTCTCTCTTTTCATACTACAGAGATCCCCGCATTTTTCCTGTTGTGCTGGGAGCTTTGTCATAGTCCCTGATCTTCTAATTCTACTTTTCCTTAAGTTAGGTGCTCTGGCTACAAATGCTGTGCCTGCTATCACGTTTTTCTTTTACTCCTCTCAGCTAAGTCTCATGACAGTGCCATGTTAAACATTGACACACTGAACAAGCAAAAGCAGCAATGAGAGAGGACATTGTTCTATGCCAGAGAACAGTAAGGGTTTGATGTGCTGGCAATTGCAAAGAACTGTGGAAGTGCAAATGATGTGTTGTGTTTTAATGCAGCTTTTCCTCTAGCACAATTGTTCCTCATTCCTAAGTGATACAAGCTAAACCAACAAATACTACTGTCAACACAGCTTAATTCATGAGGAGTTCTACAAACACAGAAATAACATCTAGACATATGGGGTTTTTTCACACCATAAGCCAACATAGCACTGTGAGAAATTTCTGGTAACATATATCTGGTGTATAAATGTCTTCCTTTTTTTTTTTCTTTGCCTAAATCTGTCTGCTGAGGCAGGCAAAGCTAGGCCTATCTATATTTAAAAGAGGACCCTATCCTTTCTCAGCAAACTAGTACTGTTCCTCAAGTCACTTGTGATCAGAATTTATACCTCTGGAAAATTAAAAAACTTTCTTCCTTTAAAGAGATAGCTAACATTTCTGGTTATTAGCTTAATTTTGAAAGAAATACCAAAACATGTTTTCAGTTGTTTTCAATACCCCATAATCTTACTGTGTCCACACCCAAATGTTGGTACATTTCTTCTCTGTTTTTTTTCTTCCTAGTCTCTTTTCTGGGAAAATAATCAGCTACTAGTCAGTAGCTTTGCTGGCAGAGGACTTCGCTACATGTCTCTCTCTGATACTCTCTTTGGCTTTGTTGGAAATTTGCTGAACTGGTGTGGGCAGGCAGACAGCCCTGGTAAGACAGCGAGTACTATGTTAAACATTTATCTGTAAAACCATAACAGAGACCAACTGCTGTGTCCTGGAGAAACCAAATTTGCTCTTACCCCATGAAAAATCAGGACAAATTCACTGTCTCGTTCTCTCTTGTATCATGTGAATGTTTAACACTGCAGTCAGAGGAGCACACAGTGAAATCTAAATGGTCCTGCAGTGGGGATAAACCTCTTTCTCAGTCTTCTGAACCTGCATCCCAGGAACAGAGTTAGAACCATTTCAGCCAAATTACTGAATCCTCTGAATGCAATTGTTTGTGTAAACTATAAAGGATGGAAAATTATTTTAAAAATACAACAACCTTCGGTGCTATGTCAAACATAGGTTGGGGGTTCAGTGGGTAATGCACAAATATATTTAGTTGCTTTCTAAAGTCACTTTTTGCAGTCATTATCATATCTCTAGTAGCACAAATCACATACCTTCCTACAGGCCTGGACTATGAATCCTGCCCTACCACGATGGAATGTGAAAACAACGCAGTGGATTCTTTCTGGAGGATGACCTCAATCATTGTAAATATTTTATTAGTGCTAAGTTCATATATCTGTGGGTGTGTCTGAGGTGATTCAGGAAAATATTGCTAGTTCAAAACAGAATTAAACCTTTAACTCTACTGGATTATTTCCCCTGATACAAAACACCGTTTTAGACTGGCTGCAGTGTTTTAGCAAGGAGAATTTAACATTCACCTTAGCTAGATAATGTGTTAAAATTCTGTTAGCTTTGTTAATAGAAACCATATACTAAGTACAGTAAGCACACTGACTGTCTTCTGATTACAGGTCCTAATTTGACAGACTTGCTGAAAACCCTTTACTCACATATCAAACTCAACAGAGAATGCCAAAATGCTTTCTTCTTGTGCTGAAGAAAATACTTATAAATGTGAGAAAATAGCTTGAGAAGAATCATTGAAGTAAACCATGGCCTGTTTTGTTCCTGTCCTTTTTACTTCAGTGACCTGCTAGGGTGCTAATCTAGTATTATTTTTGCAGTTATGATATTCTTCGTGGTAACATTCTTTCCTTGGTTACTGTTGTTTGCAATAAAATACTAAGTTATATGACAAGTCTATGAAATCTAAAAAGCACTGTTATCTATTGCAGTATGCACAGCACAGCTCTGGGGTGATACAGGTCTTGCTGAATGGTTCTGCAGAGGGAGGAGCATATCCACAGACAGGGTAAGAGAACTGACTGATTTCTGTGTAGAGAACTGACTGAACTGACTGCGGGATGGCTACAAAAAAGAAAAGTCAACTATTATTTGGGCCTTCTGCTGCACAAAGCATGAAAGTATAGCTGAAAGGACCTGTTGCATCAAAGTCTGCTGAGTTATGTGTAAAAACTGTTAATTGTCCCTAGCTGAAGGATTAATACGTAGTGGATGGAAACAATCCTTTCAACTCCTGCATTTTACAAGCTGCTGTGGCAAGCATGGTGAATGCTCTGAAAGCTGCCCTAGAGTCAGCCAATATACTGTGGCAAAATGTGTATGTCTTCAAAAAGATGAGTGTAAAGGAAATTTCTTTTTAGGGACATGTCCAAATAGAGGATATTGTTACAAAGAGTGTAGCTTTTGTCAGGCCTACCAGCAAACTTGGTAAGTTCTAAAGGGAAAGTATTTATTTCTCCATGTCCAAGAGTGGATGTAGTTTGAAGTTTATTATTGTTCCAGAAAGAAAAAAAAAAAAAAAAAAAAGTTTCTTGAGGAGGATAATAGCAAAAATGAGCTTCCTCTTCTTCTTAGTTCCTTTTATATTAAGGACAGTGTATTTTTCCTGATTCAGAGGTGTACCACCATGCAGAAGCTCATCTAAGCCTACATTCAAAATTTATTGTAAAAGTACACCCTTTAGAACTTTCACTATGTGTCTGTAGTGACTGCTTATCTGTAAGAAATGCATCCTTCATTATCTCTTATCTCAGCAACTGTCCTGTCCAAGGCAGATCAAATATTACATTTTTTAAAAACCCGTAGAAGAGAATCTCCTCTTGTGTATTCATGAAGACTAAAAATGACCATTGAAAAGGCAATTTTGTCTCTGGATAGAAGAGAAACAAGAACTATCTTTCCCAAAATACCTCCTAACTACTTACCTCTATCTCCCAAAACATCCATCTCTTTACAGAGCTAATCACAAAGACTTAAAAGTCTCCTTAGGTTGGTCAAATGGTCAGCTGGGATCAAATCTTCTGCAGATGGTAATACCTGGCAGCAGGGCAATACCCAGAATCTATTATAGATTCCTTATTTTAGAAACTGATTCCTAATTTCTGTTAATTTACAGATTCCTTATTTCAAAAACATCTCACACACCCATTAATTCCACCAGTTCCTTGGGTTGCCAGTCTGGTGGTATTTTAACCAGTGAAATCACTACTGGAACTCAGCCTGTCAAGGAGAAAGCAAAGCCAGTTACTCCATCTGTTTTCTTTGCTGTGTATCTTCTGGTCCATTTATGACTGAATTTTTTTAAGAGCTCATGTTTGAAAAAAGCTGGAAGCTGAATTATTAATAGCAGAAAGTAATCTGGAAGATCTACCTGTCTTCCTTACCATCTCTCTGGTCTGTTTTCAAGTATTTCAAAGCCTCTTTCAAAGTTTATTCAGTTTTTTAAGTTTGTACACTTAAATAATCATTGTCACCTGATATAATTTCAGTTAAGATTTATTTCTCATTTCATGGCAAAATAACTTTGCTCATTCACACAGTATGAATTTAGTTGGCAGATTACTTTAATAATAGAAGCCAGTTCAAAAATTTGTTTTACTGAAGTCAGTTCTACATTGTTTCTCCACAGTTTCTGAGACTTCTAGTTAAAGATTTCTCCCAATTTGGGAGCAAGCTTCTTTTTTTCTGGCAATAACATATGCGTGACTGAGTAAATGAGTTAGAATCTTTATTTTTTGTTATATTTTCACTACGTGTTGGACAGGCTTGGACACCTTGGACAGAAAGGCAAACCTGCTGTTGTTGCTACTGGTCTCTGGTGAGCTACCTCCATACCAGGTGGGACCAGAGAAAGCAGCTCTTGGTATTTGTCCTCCTGTTCCACTTCACCATAAATTTAAAATGATTTGCTGACTTCATGAACCAACAGACACTGGCAAGCAGCACATGTCCTGCACTTCCATGGCAGAGCCCTGGTAGTTTGCCTGAAGGCAGCAGGAGGACAGACCCACATTGTCACTGCTGGTCCCATTCAGGAAGTGGCAACTAGTGGTTCCTTCTTCTCTGTGCAGGTCTCAGAACATTGAAAAGGGCTCAGAGACACTGTAGTGCTGATATAGACATTTAATAGAAGACATAGATGTCTAATAGATATCTAATAGACATTTAAGAAGACACATGATAGGCAAATAGCAAATTAGAGGAGAGACCTAAGCCCAGACTTGGACCAGGCATTCAGTGAGGACACAGCCCTTACAAGCTTTCTGAGTGAAAAAACCCCTAAAAGATTGGAAATCATTGCACTACATCTTGCTAAAAGGGTTAGAAATCTATGGCTTTGAAATGCCAGCATCTCACAAAAAAAAAAAAAAAAAAAAAAAAAAAATCAATCTAGAGACATTAAAATCAGCCACTGGATTTCATATCTTCTTAGATTAGATATTATGAGGAAGTATCAAAGGCTTTTTATTTGTTTTTGCATTTTCAGTAGTTCATTCTTGTTCACTTTTAGGTGAATTCATTAATACAGAGGAGGAAAAGGACTGTTTAATTTTCATGTTCTTTATAGTTCAATTTTTTTCTTGAATCAGTTTTTTTGCAGATTATGAGATACCTAATCTCCAGAAAGACAAAATCTCTCAAGTTCTCATTTGGGTTGTGGATGATATTGAAGGACCAGATTTGTAAGTTATGTCTTCAAAATAAAGATTCATTTCTCCCTTTTGGACCTGTCTTTAAAATTTCACCTTATCTTTCTGCTTGCATACTACTTAAAACAAAGTATTTTAAATGCTTTCATGAACACAGGAAACACAACCTGCCATTCTCAGAGAGTATAGAAATTCCGAATTAGAGAAAATATAAATAAATTGTAATATTAGATCTACAGCCAAGTCTGGTTAGATGTGTGTGTGGACTCAGACCCTGAATAAAGATAGAGCATGAACAGTTTTACTAAGAGTCAATCTGAATTTCAGATTAAGTGCTGATAAGTGATATTTCTTTTACTTTGCTGTATGCATTCTTTTAATTTTCACCTATCTTAACTGTTTGAAAATTTGTAGAAGCAGGCAAATACCAACTGGTGGCTCTTTTTCTCTCAGTAATTAATCCAGTAAGATGCAGGCTTAAGTGTCTAATTTTGCTGGTAATTTAAATAAAGCAAACAAACAAATAAGTAATAAACAAATATAACAAAACTGATTAGTCCAAACAGTTTGGGCTGTCTGTTGTGTATTTTACTACAATGCTATGGAGTCTACATTAGCATTTTTCTACACAGCACTCCAATGCTGTGGAGTTCAGATTAGAATTTTTCAGCCTGTCTCTCTAAATCAAAGAATCATATCCTCTGAGAGAGACATAACATACACATAGTCTTTGCAAAAGTTGCCCTTTTTACTAAGAAAAACTAAGACAAGCACTGGGTCTTAATTTATGTTTCAGTAAATGGATGCATAGGAGTAATTGTATATTTTTATTAATTGTTTTCTACAGTTATTTTGTTGGTCTCCATATGATTTCTTTAGTCATGGGTATTTACTGACCAGCAGATAAGTAGCACTGGCCTTAATACTTTATGTTGGTGCAAGTTTAGAGGTCTCAATAGGTTCTGTAAACTTTCTTATACTAATTGGACTACAAATTAAAAAATCAGTACTAGAATTAGGAGCTGTGTTTAGGATTGTTTCTTGGTTTTTTTCTCTCTGTATTTTTCTATTATTCAATATTCAAGATAGAGAAGAAGCTTCTAACAACAAATTCTCATTTATTATAACAAACTAATTCTGTAAAGACAGATAGCATCAGCATTATCACTACCTAAATAGTTGCCAAAGAATATTACAAACAAAACATTTACTATTTTACAAAATTATTTAAGTCTTTTTCCATCTAGTCAAATATTAAATGTAAGATTATTAGTGGACAGAATCTGAAAATGCTACACTAGCTAAAACTAATCTTCTAGACTCTAAACTGTAGAAAGGATAAATTGTGAAACAACAGTAATGGAGGCAAATAAGGCATAAAGAACAATTTACACCATTCTTCTGGAGATGTTATGGAATACAGAAAAGGCAAAGTGATGGGGATATACTTTTCTAATTCCATCAAGTTCAGTGAAAAGAAATTATATAACAAAAGATTTGCAATAATATTGAAATCCTTTCTCACAGAGATTCCTGTGGAACTAATAGTGTAAAGATATTAGAAAACAGGCTGAAAACTCTTGGTTACGATGTCACTTGTACTGACAATTACAAGTAAGTGAAAACCTTTTATTATTATGCTGTATTTGCAGAAGCACCTTATCTATTTTGATTCTTACTGTGCAATACTGAAGTGCCATTAATGTTGTGTCTTTAGGATGGACTGATATGTTAGAGGGATGATGTCACATTTTTCAGACTTAGCATTTTTTGGTTGTTTATTGAGCAAAACACTACATCTTATTGTATGATTGAGTGGAACATTGTGCTTACTCAATGTCAGACACAGAAGATGGCCTCATGTACTTGGATTTAAAATCTAAACAATAGTTAAAAACAGTATTGAATGCCTGCAGAATCACCAATTATTCACAATAGGTTTCACAGCTCTAGTCATTCCCATAGATTGTAAGATAAATTTAATGAAGGGAAGATTTAAACATAATAATACTGTGAATTTGTTTAATTTTTTCTTGTTTGTTTTCCTCAGTTGTCTGCCTGAAAGGTGCTAAATAAAATGGTATTTTCACAGGTCTGTAATGTTCTTACTCTGCCTGGATAATCCTGATCATTCTAAGTGTGCCCTTGCATCGTAAGTAAGAGAAGTTCAACCTATCCTCAGTGTCATTACAACTGAATAAATTATGCAGAAGTCAACAGTTCAACAGATCCCACCTCTACCACCTCTTATACATTCCCCATATGCAATACACAGCAGTCTTGAATTTGTCAGTTACTGTGGATTGAATTAGCAGTTTCTATTCACAAATTGTGCACAGCTGTCTGTGAGCACCTGCTGTTCAAAATTAGGTGTTAATGGATTCTCATTGATCACGCAGTAACACTGTATATCATTGATGATGTAAAGTTTGTACATATCACTGTTCTGATATAAAACCTATTACAAATTTGAAGTTGCTTTCTTTAATATAATTTCTTGACTAATCAAAGTATAGATCAAGTGGCAACAGATCTAAAGGACATTTCTCCTACTACTGGAATTTTCAGTTCTAAATTTTGAGGAAGTTTTCTTTTAATCTTCCATTTTGTGTGAAACTTAATCTCTATATTTTGATGTATTTACCTTGGGCCAGTGAGTTATCTACAAAGAATGCAGATTACATCCAAGACATAACTTCTTGCTCACAAACTCCATACTTATCCATATTTATCTATATTATATGAGGAGCATTAAATTAATTCATTATGTATTTTGGTGAATTTACAGTAAAGATTACTGTTTTCAGTTCTGACTATGTTTCATAATCTATATGCTGTTGCATATATAGGTGGACATAAAATACTTGAACGTCTGAATTAGAACTTCCTCACTGTTTGGAATGTTGTAGAATATATCAATACATAAACACTGTTTTGTGGTTATATTCTTTTTATAGATAATCCATGCTTTATTTCTTACTGTCCTTTCTTCCCTATTCAAGCACGTGCAAATTTTTGTTTGTTAATGCCTGTGTGATACTGCAATGATAACTTCTGCTATGAAAGTCCTGATTTGCTGTCCCTGGTTATGGCAGCAGAGGTGCAACTCCAGCTTGCCTGCCTCTGGGAGGGGCTGTAGTGCTTCATGCAGTACAGAAAAGGAGGTGGACATCACCTTCTGTGACACATGTCCAGTTCTTGGTACACACCTACAGAGAAAGTGTGTATTCCCTGTTCTTTCTGGTCACTGAAAACTTTTACTCACCTTACAATGCAACGTGTATTCTCGCATGCAATTTATATCCTGGCACCAGCATATAAATGTTATGAAAATGGTGGGTTTATAAATACCCCTGGTAGCTCCAGACTTCTTCTAGGCAGTAGATCATAGAACAGACTTCCCATTAGGGCTTTGATTGGTTTCAAAATGCCACTTGCACAGTGGATTAAAATAGGGTTTCCTTGTTCTGCAGCTGAATGGTCACCCCAGGACAATGTGTCAAATGAAAATACAGTTATCCCCTTCGAAGTAATAGCTGTGAACATAGTGACAATATTAACAAACCTGAAGAAAAAGCGCAGGACTTTGAAAAATACAATATTTTATTGAGCTGTTAACAGAAGATTTTTCTCCTCTCCCAGGTTTTAAATCACATTCCTCAAAGTTTTGTGTTGTGGGTGTGTTACTCAGCTGAGGGCACCTGGATGAGAAGGATTTTGGAAACCATTAATGTGTTTTTCCTTTCAGCTAAGGGTGAGCATGCAGTTCTGCAGTATTGCCACATGGCGTTTGCAGTGTGTAAGCAGGGGAGCAGCCGCCCCTTCCTTTCCATCCACGTTGGTACTCGAAGTAACATAACCCTGGTGTACTCAAAACACCAGTCTCACACTTTCCTGGGGTAACTCCTGAGCAACTCAGCTGTTCTCATCCTCCTTAGGAAAAGCTTCCTTGCTTGTTTCCTTCATGAGCACTGTTTTCCATCCTCTATGCATGGCACTGTAATAAGTTTGATTAATTTCTTATATATCCCAAATCACAATAGAGCTTCCCAATCTGCATGCAAAACTATCATTTCCTCTCCCTGAAATTTAAGTAATTTAAATACTACAAGCCAACGAATACTTAGATTCTTCCCAGAATCACTCAATTCTCTGTAGTAAATAGCACCACCTCCATTGAAACTAGTTGCCTTTTCAGAAAGAGCCTTAAGCAGATGCATATAAATTATTTGGTGATAACCTTCTCAGGTATGTTTTCTGTGTTCTTTGATGGTCCATTAACTGACTGGGGGCTGGTTAGTAGGGGTATCACTAATTGGAGTGGGTATCTGTTTGGAAAAGTTTCCTTTGCAGAGTAGGTGGTCTCAGTGTTCATAGTGAACAGTGGAACAGGCATGCAGGGGCTCATGCATCCCTTTCACCAGGGCTGTTTGCTATTACAAGGCTGATAGGTGCCCTCTCAGCCTCCAGAGAATAATGTCCTGAGCCCACAAGTGTCAGAGTTGGACAAGTGACCTTTTATTCACCACAACTGCTGTTACATGGGCATAGCGAAGGAGAGAGCTGAGTCAGGGTAGCAGAAGGATGGCCTAGAAGGTGCTGTAATTACCTGGGGCTTCTTGCATGGTGGTGGTGCCCCTTAACTCCTCTCCAGACTTGAACGATCATCCTGCTGAGTCAAATTTGGACTTTGCCTTAAGGTTAAGGTGACACCCTGACGTTAGAAAAAACTTGTGAGTAAAAAATACCCACTAGATGGCAGAGATGGCTTACAAATGTCAGGAAGGACGCCAGATGGAAGCTGTTAGCAGTGGCATGGATTACTTGCATTATTGCAATGTCAGGGAGATATAGAGGTGGATCTGGATACTATTGCACCAAGTGCTGTAAAAATACAGTCCTCCAGGACCACTGCTGTCTAGAAGAGCACTATGAAATCACAAGCATAAGGCCAGAGAAGCAAATGGTTGTGGAGAGACAAGGCTCTTGTGTAAAGGCAGAAAGAAGAGTTTCCAGGGTTTTGCAAAGATATTCTGTTTATAGAATCATGACACCCAAAGGGAATCTGTTGGCAAGCTCATATAAAGAAACTTCTAGCTTAGCACTTGGGCCATGAACTTCGCCCTTGGCAACAAACCCCTGATATTTAAAAGAATCCTAACTCAGCTCTGTGCTGTGAACATCCTGTTTGTTTTTTCTTCTTCAGATCTGCAGCAGCAGCACAAAGAGGACCTATATCTTCAGACAGAGGAGGCAGCTGGAACAAGCTCATGTTTGTTTCTTTTGCAGCCTTTTTGTTCAGATTTGCTTTAGTGTACTGAGCTAATCAACTGAATCCATATCCTCTGACTTAGCTGGGTATAAATTTGGCTTCACCTGATTTCTAACTGCAATTTCATCCTACTTTTGGGACTGGAAAATCTGCCATATTAAAACCTTGTATACTAAATATTGGCTTGTTTTAGTATCAAAAATTACCCCACTGCTGCTAGAAAGCCTAACCCTTCATTTTCTTTTTCTAGAAGAAGTTCATTACTATTTCCTATTATCTTTATTCTCCAGAATTAAACCGAGAATAATACTTTCTGTTCACATATTTCAGAAAAAAAATGATACTATGCATACATCACCCACAGAGATTACTTGTTTGTAAAACCATCCTAGCATCTGACCTTGGAAACTAAGTGACTGATTATCATGTTTTGGGAAGGCAAAACATAAATTCAAGTGGGAGAGATCTTAGATTGCTCACTTGATACAAGATGCAATAGGTAAGATAGTGGAAAAGTAAATTCATTTTCATAAGTGGTCCAGTGCTTGGGCCAAACTTAAAAACTAGGGTACAGCAAGATCCTGGGTGCATACTTGCATACAGTATTTTACCACATAATGGCAATTGCTTCATCATCTGCACAGCTGTTCCTCAGCTGGCTGTTTCCTGGCCACTGGATAGCAAATAGTCAGAAATACCAGGTCTAGAAAGTTCCACAGTTTCTCCACCACAATGTGATTTATGGTATATCAAATTCAGATAAAGAACCTGCCAAGTCAGACATTGGCCTGCTGGCAGTGAACTCAGATACAGGGCTCAGAACACACTGAGGAGAGAGCAGATGCCATCCTGAAGGTTTCTTAGGTTACTTGTGTGAATTCCAGTGCTTCAGCTAGAGGCTCCTCTGAACCACCAGGACATCCAGCTACCAAGATGACACATAAATCTTCAGGAAAAATAGTCATTCTACAGAGAATAATTGTATGTAGATAGGTTTTGCACATTTTGTGTTAGCTTCTGTATAATTTATTTGTGTTTGTATTGACTGGTTGCCAGGAAACTTGGAGAGGATATTCCTGTTATCTCAATGAATCTGATTTAAGGGTCCATAGTAGATTTACATCTTTTCAATCCCTCATGCAACTGTATCATGTATGTTTGAAAGATAAAATATTTAAAATATATTGTAGTTGCTTATTTGTCTTACTTCCCTGGCTGTAATAACGTTTACTTTGGTTTTATTGCAAATCTCTTTACATTGCACACATATTTGGGTTTGCCTATGTAACAGGTGGGTTTAGGTTCCAGCTTGAAGGATTTTTGTATCTGTTTCAGACACAAAAAAGTATTGAAAGCACAAAAGTACTGAAACCAGAAGTTACAGACCTTTAAAAATCCGGGGTGTATTATGCCTCAAAATTGTTCCCTATCTGTGCTGTAACTTTAGGTCTTTGTTCCTTGAACACCCTCTTAATTTTTTATTGTTTTATTTTTTCATGTTTTATTTACAGCAGCCACCAGAGTAGTAAGAAAGGTATCTGTAGCACCTCATAGCTAAAGGTGTCTGAGTCACATCTCAGATAGCTAAAGCCAAGCAATTTTGACCAATCTTCTATTTGCCCACGGCAGATCATATCATGACACATTTTGGGCCACAGGCTATAGAGACTGTGTGTGTGAGGCTCCCAGGTGTCCCAGCCAGCATCAGGGCTGGTGTGTCCGACCTGCCAGCCTGTGTGTGAGATCCAGAGAACAGCTTAATACCATCAACCAGCCATGTGCCTCTTAGGCAACTTCCAGCCACAAGCCAAGCATCCCAGCTGGCCAGCTTTTGCTTTCCAGCTTATGAAAGCTTTCCAGCCTCTGCTTGTGATTGACTCCAGCAGCAGCACAGTCAGTGCTGGCAGTTACACATGGTACCAAACACTCTGTAGAGAGTGTTAAATAATTCTGGTTTGGAAAAAATAATATAAAAATATAAAGCAGGATAGCTACAGTTTAAACAATTGAGATTTTTTTTTTAATGCATTACCTTATGTCAAAAACAACACACTCAGCACCTCTTACAGTGTTTTCTTATTTCTAATGTTCTTTCCTCTTTTCCCGTTACTTCAACTCAGTACCAAAGACAGCAATTTCTTTTCTAATACCTGTTCAATAAAGTGTCTCAAACTTGCTTTAAAAACTTGGGAATATCGTAAAGATTTTTAGCTAACCAAATAATGTAGCTAATAAAAAAAAAGCAACAAGGCAAAGTTCTAGACATATAGGTTTCCTGAGATTTTTTGAGGCAGCAAATTTCAAGCTGAGTGCAAATCATTTGTTCTGAGTTTAACGTAATGGTTTTAATCTGAGCAAAAGAACAATGTGACTGGCATCTCGGGAGGTGAGGGGCACAAGTGTCAGCAAAGCAAGTAACAATAAGGTCATTTGTTACTCCCAGAAGGAGGGAGAGACATGAACATGACTTTTTATTTATTTCTGCATCTATAAAGGTGTGAATAGTACTATTTAGAGATATATGTTACACTTTAGTGGTGACTGTCAGCCAGGTGAGCCTGTGCTATGTCTTGAAAACTCAGGAAATGCTCTGATTAGCAATGTCTTATGTAAGAGCTGTGCCAAATGTGGAGAAATCATACTGTCCAAAAGGCATCTGCCCTTTTCCTTAAACTCATTCAAGCCCGGGGAAGTTCACAAATATAGGTTCAAAATGTTTCAACCATTCATATTTGTACTAGCAGTACTATAAAAACAGCTGTCTCCAGATGTGAATTTGAGGGAGAAAATATTTCAGATGAAAACAATATGTATATAACTTAATTTTGAGTTCTGTTGAATGCCAAAATCCTGTGTAAAGCTATTAATATACAGCTACTTATGACAAATTCAAACATCGTGTGCAGGAGCATTACAAGGTTTTCTGAATTTCTGCAGACAGACCTGTGGAAGCTACTGAGACTAAGGCAGTGTTTTCTGCTGTACCCATTTTGTGGACCACATAAGAACTCAGTTATCTCACATTCTTCATTGCTGTATAGAAGTTAATATAATCTCCCCTCCTACTAACCTACTTTTTCTTTTTGCTACATACATTTCAGTCATTGTGTCTGAACAGCAGCTGAACACTAATTCAGAGCAGTTCCTTTTTCCAGCATGCGTGTGCATGGATACATATACATCTGCTCACATCTGCTCTGCCTATTTTTAAATGCAAAGTCCTGAGTGCTCTGGAGTAAAAAGTTATGAGAATAAGGCAAAGACAACTTGATGATCTCTCTGCCCTTTTTATACTGCTGGTGTTTATTTTTGTCATATTGGTCTTAATGTGATATTCAGCTGACATGACTATGTTTTCAATCAACAATCTTAAATGTAGTGAAATGTGATCTGAAACCTCAAGAATTTGAATAATACTTTTTGTTCCATGAAGGCTAACTCTTTTCATAGTGTTCTCAACTGAATTACCTAGAAATAATTTTGCTTCAACAATAGTGTGAAGTGGAAGACAAGTGCTTTTAGCAGAGCCAAGGAGTTTGGTTTAAAATAGCTCAGTATGGGGAGGCACAGTATCTTAATTTAGCAAATGTCACAGTGGCTCAAACACTTCACAAGTTCTTTTTGATTTTCAGGTTTTTCCTAATTTCATCTTCTGCCCAGTCTAAATTACATGCAATTTTACATAAGAGGCAAAGAATATAATCTGTCAGATTTTGTTTATAATCTGCAGGCATCTGATTTCCTAGCTTCCTGAGAATTATGAAGGCAAGCTTGGAGAGCCTCATTCCCTTAGGGCAGCAGCTGAGTTCCAGTGCAGGCTGGCAGGGAGACTGGAGCAGGAAATTGGAGCCTGGGAGGGTGGCACGTATGTCCCCTCACCCTGTGCCAGAGGGCCTGTGCTGCCTGGCAGCCCCCCTCCTCCCACCATCTCCCTGTCTCTGCAGCTAAGGTAAACCTGATCTCTGTTAGGATGATTACTTGGTATTTTTAGCAGAATATGTGAGCAGAAGATGATGCTGTTGGAAATTCTGTTAGAGGAAAACAAAGGCGGAAATTATAGTATACATTTCCTTCCAGCAGCAAGCAGTGCTGTGGAAGTGATGTAAGTGATCTCTCACTTGTGACCATTTGATTAGGAATACCTGTGGCCTGTGGAAGCAGTAAGTGTAGTAAATTCCACAAGTGCAGAGACAATCCTCCAGATTTCCTCCAGTATGCAATACTTAATAAAAAATTAACTAAGAATCTAAGTACCATAGGCAGTAACCAGAAGACGCTGGTGAATTCTGGGTTACCAAAATGCAGGAAGATTTTTTTTCCCCTATTTGCAGCAGGTAAAGTCAAGAGTGCTAAAGAACTGACAGGCATTCTATCTGCTACACTGTGTCAAGGTACAGATGTGCAAAAGACACTAGGTCACTTTGTGCCATTTTGAAGAGCAGCAAGCAAAGAAGCAAAGTATCTCATGGTAACTTTAATCTTCTAATACCAAGTTCCAGCTGTATGACATGCTGGCCTGTGTTGAGCTTCATTTTTACTTATCCCTTTGCTTTGATGAAAGGGACCAGAAAATCCAGAGCTGGTATTTCTACAACTCAGAATGTATGCTCTGGGCTTTCACCTAGAACTTTCTGTCACCACTGCACATTAGCATGGGGTTATATGACATACATCACTTGATATATATCACTTGAAAAGTAGTTAAGGACAGTAAGCATAACCAATAGTCTTGTAAAATGCAGCATCAAATCCCAGACAAATATTTCTACACATGTATACAAATGCACATTTTACATAGCTGTCAACTAAACAAGATCTTTGTCAAGTTTTTTGGTTTTGACCTTTGAGCCATCACATGAAGCCTTTACAAATGGCATACCTACCCTGTATAGGTCTTTTAGGAGTAATTGAGCTATTTATGCACTCCTGGAGTCAAAGAGCTTAATTCTGTATCAACTTGGTTTCCTTGGCTGCCTCAGTGGGATGGGAGCCTTATGGGTATTTCTCTTCAGAATGTGTGAGCAGAATAACAATTAGTACTGGCTAGAAAACAAGCACTCAGTTTCATGAAAGTTGGTGGGATTACTGCATGTGCTTTTTCTCTGCGCTAAATTAAACCTTGAAAAATGCTTTGCACAAGAAAAATACAGCAGCCTCATCAGAAATCATGTTAAGATCCCTCACTGATAGGATCTAGCTTTGGTACAACTCTCACTTGCAAACTCAACTACCACAGCTGTTTAAATTTTTCTATAAATTAAATGTGTCTTGAGCAAAAAACACTTTCTTCATATCATGATTCAGGTAGAATGAATGAGTCATTAAACACGGGCCTCCCACTCTTCAGAGCTGTGCTTTAAACAACACACTTTGGAATGTGTTGCTCTAGTTTGCCAAGGACATCATTTTCTGACATGTATAATAGAAAGGCATTACAAAAAGTGGTGAAGGTGATACAAAAGAATGAAGCAACTTGTTTCCCCAAACTGTTCTGGAGCTACTCCACATCCCTCCCCACCAGAGCAGTGTGTTGGTATGTAGAAGATCTCTTGGCATGTTGCCTCATTCCTTGACAAAATCAATGTGAAAACTCCCAGTTTGTTTCGTTAAAAAAGCTAGCACTTTGGCTAAAGAAAAAAAGGAATTGGGAATTTCAAAATGCAAGAAGCAACACTGGTGGCAGCAGGAAATTCCTCAGGAACAGCAAAACTCAGGATGCATCTGTAGAATTGCCAGGCTCTCAAGAGAAGGGGAAGGAGCAGATGGGATGACACTGAAGAGAGCCAGGAGGGGAAACAAGCACAGAAATGGGAGGAAGGTGCTTGGTCCAAAGAGGGAGAACGTTTTGGACCCTTTGGGATCTTTGTTTACAATGAACAAAGAAAAGAATCAGTAATTGGTGTCTGTTACCCTGTCTGACAGAGAACAGCACCGTCAGTGCTGTCCGGGCTCCAGCTGGCAGCAAGTGAGCTCGCACAGGCAGCACAAGAGGCTGGGGCTGCTCAGAGGGACAAGGGAGAGGAACCAGGCTGTGCATGTCTGCCTGGAGAATGACCAAGGAATAGCTGTTTCCAAACAGCCCTGCCCTGGACATGAGCTTTAAATGCACATCCAGTCATATTGTATTAATTTGTAGGGCAGTCAAAGCTGTGGTACAATTCAAAATATTGGAGCCGAAGGAC